GAGGGGACGGGCGTTAGGACATCAACAGACCCTTTAGGGGATACAATTCAGGTCACACCCCCACCCAAATGAAGACTTCATCTCCATCCCCCGGCAGCACCTGACACGGTACTATGTTGACACAGGCCTTCCTCACAGGACCTCCTGGCTTTCCTTCGTGCGGCGCACAGCCTTCACGTTTTCCCCACCAGCCGCGGCTCGGACTCCTTGGCCAACTTCTCCTCCTCCCCCTCAGACACTGCCCTGTCTGCACGCACGCCCTAGGAAACCCCAGCGTTGACTACCACCTCCCTCTGACACACTGTCGCGGGTGCCTCCACACCCCTCTCGCCTTGGACCTCGGGACACCACGCACGGCCCATGGCCTACCTAACATCATGCCGCTCACCGAGCAGCTCTGACTGCATGTGTGCAGAACCGTTTGGCTTTCCTCCAAAACCTTCTCCCTCCCCAGACTTCTTCAAAGGGGCGAATGGCCTCACCTTCTTCACCCACTGCCTAAATCCTTGGGCGTGCCGTGTCCATGACTCTGACCTTTCCCTTGTCCTCTGTGTCCCACTGGCACATCTTCCAAGATGCCCAGAATCTTTGTACCTCCCACCACCCCCACTGCTATCCCCTGAGCCCGCAGGACAGCAAAACGCTCCCACGAGCCCAGTGCGGCCACAGATGCATCTGCATCTCCGCAGAGTGACTGCCGGACCTGCCTTGATGAGAAAATGGACCGTGTGGCCCTTCACGGAAAAGCTCGCTGACCCCTAGTCTAAACACGGATGTCACCTGTGACTGTCCTTCACTGCGGTCCTCCAGCCAACAACAAAACACCTGTGTTGCTTTCAGATTGTTCTTTCCGTTTCTCATGCCAACAGCTCCCCTTCTTTTCTGTCTCCTGATCAGAAGCCTCAATCTGCCTGCCAGGCGGCTCCCTCCCTGCCTCCCTCCCTCCTTTCCCTCCCGCACTCCATCTCTGAGGATTGTCTCCTGGAAACACCATGTTCCCCCATCAAGGAACCGCAGCGGCTCTCACCGTTTCCAGCACTTAGCCTACACACACCTGTGAAGGTTTCAAAGGTCCCATATAACCTGGGCTTACCCTGCAGAGTCAGTCGAGGCCCCGCTGCCCCCCAACAGGACAAGCCGGCGCCCTCCCCTCTGCCAGAAGGTGCCACAGGCCCTCCCCAGCCAGTGCACCGTTGGTGCAGCCAGCCCACTTTCTTACTGCCCTTGGTATCTGAATGTGTGCCAAACTCTCTCATATTACACAATCTCCCAGAGGCTCCCAAACCTTCCCTCCAGCTACCACCCAGCTTATTGCTCTCTCCTCCTTTTCCCAGAGAGAGAGATTTTCTGGGGGAAAAAAATCTGAAGGAACTATCTACCACCATCATCTTCACCTCCTCACCTCACCGTTCACCCACTGCTTCACTAAAATCACCTCTGCCGGGGGCACTAATGATTTCACCCACGCCAGTAAGCCTGTTTCACTCCTACTGCACCGTCCGCTCTGCAAGGGCACTGAACAGAGTTCACTGCTCTGTCCAAGAACACTCTCCCCCAGGCTTCCGTGATAACCACACTCTTCTTTTCCCATCTTGCTTCTGGAATACTCCTTCTCAGCGTCTTTGTTACATATCTGTCTTCCCCACCAAACAGGGAGCTTCCTGAGGAAGGGGCCGCGTCACGTGTGGCTCTCTGATGCCACACATACATTCTAGTATACGGTAGGCAGGATGTCAGTGAATGTCAGCTAAAATCAAATGTCATTTACTGTTTTCAGCTCAAGAATTTTCACTCTCTGGCTAAAAGGAACAAATCAGGAGACTAGAGATGCTGGCGAGGATGTGGAGAAATGGGAACCCTCTTGCACTGTTGGTGGGAATGCAAACTGGTGCAGCCGCTCTGGAAAACAGTGTGGAGGTTCCTCAAAAAGTTAAAAATAGATCTATCCTATGACCCAGCAATAGCACTGCTAGGAATTTACCCAAGGGATACAGGAGTGCTGATGCATAGGGGCACTTGTACCCCAATGTTTATAGCAGCACTTTCAACAATAGCCAAATTATGGAAAGAGCCTAAATGTCCATCAACTGATGAATGGATAAAGAAATTGTGGTTTATATACACAATGCAGTATTACAGGGCAATGAGAAAGAACGAAATATGGCCTTTTGTAGCAAAGTGGATGGAACTGGAGAGTGTTATGCTAAGTGAAATAAGTCATACAGAGAGAAGCAGATACTATATGTTTTCACTCTTATGTGGATCCTGAGAAACTTAACAGAAGTCCATGGGGAAGGGGAAGAAAAAAAAAAAAAAAGGTTAGAGAGGGAGGGAGCCAAAGCATAAGAGACTCTTAAAACTGAGAACAAACTGAGGGTTGATGGGGGATGGGAGGGAGGGGAGGGGGGG